GACGAATACGCTCATGACGATGAATAATGAGCGCGTTCCAGACCACACATCCTCCTTTTTTTTTCCATAGATGAAAGTGATCGCGACACGCAAAGCGGCAACGCCGGCAAGAAGCTGCTACTCTGAGGGTGAGAGCACCGCATTCGGCAGCTCAACGCCTACGAAGGCAGCAAGCTAACCTCGGAGGCGAGTGCTCTGGAAGCAGTGGCAAAACGGAAACGCCGACAACAAGCTGATACCCCTGGAATGGAGGGCGTGAGAAGCGGCGGCTCAACGGCAGAAACACATTTTATATACTGCACACACGCGTTGTCACTCATTTACATGCGCGAGTGGAGAATGTTATGTATATTTACGGTAAGAATGATCCCCAGTGCTTTGTCCACTAGTCATGATTCACTACGGGGTGATGCGGAGATTTTCTTTCTAGAAATAAGGGAACGGGTTGAAACTGCCTTTTGTGCATGTTCTTGTGCGTATTTTTATATGTGCATGTATTCAAAATTCGAAATTGTCAGAAGGGGCTAAACTGTCCCCTTGTATCCAACACCTGTGGCTACGCCAGTAGTACACGCACGCATAACACACAGCTTAAAGCGTGCATATGGTACAATATATGCATCAAGCGTTATATTTAAGCGACTACTTACACAAACTTTTAGGTGCTTTCGGTTTATTGCTCGTGATGAAAACGCTGTCGAGAACGATGAGGATTATATTGTGGCTAACACGAATGCAATAAGAGTGTTTTCAATACCGTTACACTAAAAATTCACGCCAGTGATTTCGATATAAGAAGAGGGTTGTTTCACAGTGTCCTGTAAACAGATTGAGGTCACGGTGAGACAGCAGCCAGCGACATACTAGCAGCAGCTTTATCACCTGCTGTCATTCGTATGGAGAGCGCATGAATAACGGTGAGCGAATCCTACAGCTACTTCTCCAATTTTCTAACGACTATTTCATTGAAGCTGGCTTGCAGATGATGGGTAACGAAAAGTTTAAAATTAAAGCAAAATATAGGTCTTGCCATTTTTGCTCTGAGTAAAGCCTGCGTACAGAGGAAACGAAAAATGTCTCTCTTGCACTACCTAGAAATTGTGTCATTATTCCTTTAAGTTTGGTGAATTGCTTATTAACAACAGCAACAGCAACAACAACAAAAGAATTGCTAAGGAGGTATATGTTTGTAAGTTCAGCTACCGCGACGTTTAAATCACCATCCTGGGCGTTATTCTTCGGTACAATGTGCCAATTGGTGTGTCACAGGTCCCGTTAATTAGGGAGGTGATCGCCAGGCTAATTCTAAGGGCCGAAGTAACGGCTTCCCGAACTGCACCACGAAAGCGTGGACAATTTAGAAGTAATCCTAATTGGTGCGCCAGTGGACGCCGGCTGTGGTCCAAAGAATGAGTCAGAGCTGAGACTTGATAAAAAAACAAAATTATATTCTCAAATATGGCAGATGCGATGATACACAAATATGCACACTCGACAATAGTTGAATATGATATGTCAACAAACAACCTACTACACAGCACAATCAGCTACACTCGGAAACAACGGACACAAATAACAATACGCGCTACGATGCAATCACATGCATCGAACAATTAAGAAACCTAAAGACCAAAGAGTTCGAAAACTTATTCAGTCCGAAGTCCTTGGAACAAAGTCGGAATGATACTCTTCCAAGAACCACTCACTCAGTGTCCAGCGCTGTTGTCGATCCCCTGCCCCCGACGTTTCTCTTCCAGGAAACTTGGCCGCTCTGCAAGCATAAGCTTCTTCGCCGGTGACACGTCGGCTTCTCATGCGTTGCGATTGCAGGACGCGTCTTCGCTCTCTGGCGGTAGACTCACACTATTCTTCTTGTGGTAGCACCAGCCTTCACCCTTCAGGCGGAAACCCTCTTCATCACCCGCTTTGTCACTGACGACAAAGCCTTCGCCGACATGGCGGAATGACCCTACGCACACTTGCGCAAAACTTCCTTCATCTCCTGCCTACGCACGCTGGCGTAAACTGTCTTCGTCTCCTGCTTTGTCACTGAGGACAAAGTCTTCGCTGACACGGTGGAATGACCCTACGCACGCTGGCACAAACTTCCTTCTTCTCCTGATCTCCTTCTCCACTGCTCGCTTAAATACCTTTCGTGCTAGTATCCAGAAAGTTTTAATCGTTTCGTCGGCGCGATGCACAGCCAAGGCTGGGGAAAGAGCGAGACGTTTCGTGGACCGTCCGCGACTCGTGAAGCAACTCTACATCACCACGACCCTTTCCTTCCAGATCTTTACAAGGCGTGCTCGGAGGCCGATTGTGAGGAGGTTGGTCGCCGAAACTACGCTTCTGAGGGGGAGAGACGGCTTGCCCGGGGATTCTTCGGATGCTCGTTTTCTTCTTTGGCGTTGACCTTGAGGCGCCCCTCCGGCGTCCCGGCACCGTCACCGCCGCCAGAGCTCGGCGGTGCGCTCCCTTTCTGAGCGCTCGTTTGTGACAAGGCGTCAGTGGAGGTGCATCGACGTCAAACGGTGTTATAGCGGCTAAACAGTTGTGCAAGATCTCATCTACGAATGCACAATAAACAATCAACTCCTTTTGTAAAGCCACATGTAATGGGTCAAGCAAGAAAGTAAGCAAACAAGTCATCTGAATTCATCGGCGCTCATGGTGTGTTCTCTGAGTTCATCTTTGACGGGCCATGTGGTCAGCTGGGCTCGTGGCACCCTTGCAGCGGGAGTGGAGTGGCTTGGACACCGCGTATTTCAGTTCCTCTACGCTGGTGTTGTCCTTCCTCAGACAATGGTTTTGCAAACCTCTGTGACGCCTTATTTCTTCCTCTCTATTTTACGAGTTTGCTGAGTAACTGCTCTTCCGTTAATTTATAACTTATTTATTGCTTCGCGGTTCCGTTCTTATACCACCCTTCTTCTATGAGACCATACACATCATACCTTACGCCATACACGAGAAACGGCTTGGTGGCCACAGGAAGCTAGTTGAAGTCACCTGGACACAGTAAAATTCAGGCCTCCACAGTTCATGTAAGTGCTGAGGGACAATCGCAAGTGTATACATGTAGCTTTGGACGCTATGTGCATGTCTCTCGGCTCCAGGCTTTTGCACCTGAGTCAAACTTCAACGATACGAAGCCGGGACTTTCGACTTCAAGTTACATGACAATGAAATAAATAAGCCTACTCGAAAACCTCAATTTGTTTTAAGCTCATAATCAAGGCCTTGTCGATGCTTTGCGATAGCTCAGAGTGAATACATAGCTAGATTCTGTAGGTATATAGTATCTCAATATCCTATGCAAAGCACCTACATCATGGTCGGGTGGCTAAGACACTTGTTCCATGGTTGTGGTACACCCTAGATGGCAGCCCAGGAGCTTATAGTGGAGTTGTGGGGGTAGAGCTCGGTTTGACCTGTTCAATCAGGTCAGGGCCGGAACCTGGCCGGGCTGTGCCTGACTACTCACTTGAGAATCGGCAGGCGGGTTAGCAGGGCGCTTTCAAGCTACGGCGGGTAAGCTCTGAGGAGCTGACAAGGGTTGACCTCCGTAGATGGAAGGCGATGGGAAAGTATGGTTTACCTGCAGTTTTGCCATACTTTTTTTCTTTTTCGCTATATCACCCATATATTGGCTTTAGTATGGGTACCGCTACTTTGAATTTAATCATTACTCTAATTATCAAAGTACGGTGTTGTTATAGTAGGCTTCATCATCATGATCATCAGCATCATTCGAACCATGGCCACTCTAGGCATATCAGTAATTATCTGAGGCATTTATCAAATGTATTTCACCATAGTCCATCGCTATCATCATCATTTCAGCTCAGTGGTGGTCATAAACTGTGTTCTGATGGTGCTTGCAGCAACACGAAAGGCTACTACAGACACAATGCTCAGTACAAACTTCTTACTTGTTCTGCGGCTCGAAAATACATATTGGTCGTTTTAGATTATTCATACTTTGTAATCTAAGGCCCATCAAGACGCTCCTCTGCCGCCATAGATTTGAACTTCGGCGAAGACGAAGCATTGTCATTATTAGCCCCCCCTTATTCAAGATATCTAAACGAAAAGTATGTTTTAGGGGCGAAACTCCTGAAGCCGTAGATCTGACGATTGTACGTGACCGCCTAGCTCTCAGCAGGTGCGGACGGACAGACAATACAGACAGTCAGATGTACGGACGGACCTACAGACGAACAGACGGAGTGGACAAACAGATGAGCAGACAGACAGACGGACTGTCTGTGTGACTTTTACCAAGTTGATGCCTTTTCGGCATCTGCGATAGCATGCCAAAGGTGGCCGGATGCGACGTCGTAAATCCACCTTGAACATGTGTCGCTATTTTAATACATGACATCAGCTATAACCGAAGAGTCTTGATATCAAGCTGCTGCTTCGTTCCCATACTCAACTACATCACTGTATCTCGCGACTGGAAAATGTGTCTGGAGCGCTTTCCGCGATACGAGGTAGATTCAAATAACTTGATTTCGAAGTAACTGGGGCCTGTCACAACTGGGCTGTGGCAAGTGAATCTTAGTTTGCCATATTAGGTATAAAATTTTGGAAAGGTTAGCAGTGCTATTGTTCTTTGTGCTGACTTCAGCGCTTGTTATAAAGGTTCTGGGTGTTCCAATACATATAATAGTAAGAGTACCTTTGTGAATTGGATCAAATACTCAGCTGCTGAACTCGGATACTCAGCTTCTGGGCTCAAATATTTGCATTCCCATAATTCCGACTGTTGCCAAACATTGGTTAGTGTGGTCTAGTGCTAGCTAATTTATACCAGTGTTAAGTAGGTTGTTGACGTGGTTGGTGGTGCACGATCAGCCGTTGTTTGGAGCACACGGGTGTTCCTTTTAAAAAATATTTTAATGCGTCTCTTGGATAAACTGACTAACATAATGTTCTTTGTTTTCGGACAGGTGTTTAAAGCAACGAATTCGTTCCCTTGCACTCGCTCCTTGCAGGCTCATCAAGAAGTTTCACAGTTGCGCGCCGAGCTGCAGGACACGAACAGCCGTATCTCCAGCATGGCCGCCGCAGTGCAGATACCATCGGCGAAATCGGGTAGCCCGGCATTCCTTTGCTCCAACGCGGGCTACTCGTCTACCCTCTCTTCTTCCGGCGAGCCCCCTCCGCCGCCGGCGCCAATGTCCTCGTCGTGCCCTCCCAACATTCCTCAGCAGATCGTACCCAATCTACTGAAGCCCTGCCCAAGATGTCAAGGTTTGTATGTGCCTGTGCAGTTACTCGTTTTTCTTTGACCCTGCAGAGTTAAAATTGTGACCTCCTTGTTCGTGCCTGGGGCTCCGAGATTACTATAACCTACATTTCAAACACCGTGCTTCCAACGAGTGCAAACTGAAAGCTCGTAGCCTTCGATGTCTTTTCTCGTTTACTTGGAGGTAACCATCGCTTGGGTAGGTATATGGACATTGTCTGTAAAAAGCTGACTGGGGTGAAGTTCACAGTCGACCGTGTAAGATGATGCAAAGTGCAAAATTCTATATGGTGTAAATCCAGAGCAGCATCTGTGCAAGCTATTACGTTAGAAGTATGCAAATGAAATTGTCGTGAAAAAGGCTCGAAAAAGAATACGCCGGAACACGGTGACAAGTGGGAATGTTACACGAAATAAGGCCAAAGCTCATTCGTATAATGCAACCTGGCGTAACTGAACAAAATGCTGTCGTAAAGACACGCAGCCGCAACTGCGAGTGAAGCGACCTTTGTGTTGTGTGTGGCTTCAACGCAAAGTTTGCGACAAGTGTGCAACACCAACAAAGGCATGAGATCTCTACTTATTTACATAAAGATATGGTGCGCGCGGCCGCGGTTGGCCTGCACGGCGACTCACAGTACGGAGTTCCTGGCGGAGATACGTAGTCCTCTCCCCAGTACTCTTTAATGCGCCTTTTGCGCGTGAGGGGGCTTGCATGGGAAGTTGTAATATTAGCCCCAAGAGAGTTTGCAAAGAGTTCTAGAAAGAACTCTTTTCCAGCTTTCGCTGTGACTGTGCTGCCCTTTCCTAGCAGGCCTGGTGTTTTTTTTTTTTGTAAAAACGATAGTCATTGTTGAGATACTTCAATGAAGACATTTTGGTCGGCCTGCCTGCCTGCCTGCCTGCCTGCCTGCCTGCCTGCCTGCCTGCCTGTCTGCCTGTCTGCCTGTCTGTCTGTCTGCCTGTCTGTCTGCCTGTCTGTCTGCCTGTCTGCCTGCCTGCCTGCCTGCCTGCCTGCCTGCCTGCCTGCCTGCCTGCCTGCCTGTCTGTCTGTCTGTCTGTCTGTCTGTCTGTCCGTCCGTCCGTCCGTCCGTCCGTCTGTCTGTCTGTCTGTCTGTCTGTCTGTCTGTCTGTCTGTCTGTCTGTCAAGCAAACCTATTCAGCCATCCGGCCCAAGATTAAGCACTTCCTCAGTACCCAGCCATCTTGAATGGGTGGCTGCGTTTATACCTGTCAAATAGTCGATGAAAAATAGAATATCAGGCATATCTTAGGCGCAACTTCAGTACCTACGTATTAGTTGCTGTGTTTCTTTATTAGGAAATGCATGAGTATGCATTTCTAAAGATTCTAGTGTTCCTTAGGCTGCGCTGAAAATGCGGTGCTTTGCACGAAGTAAAGCCGGCAGAAGACTTCTTTTTCGTTAGGCATATAAGGCTTTCACCTTGACGAATGTTCACGAACACTGTGGTGACAGGAGACGTGGATATTACAGAGGGCCTTCTCGATGACGGCTACCGGGCGGCGGACTCGAAGGAGTCTAAGGCAGCCGTGAGCGTGCAGACGGACGAGGTGACGACGACTACCTGCGCTAAGGCGTCGAACGTGAACGGAGGCGGTCGCGACTCGACCGATGACGACGAGGAGGCCGACTGCCTTCCGCTCGAGGAACGACTTCAACGACTGCGGGAAGACAAGCGGCAGCTCGCACAGCACAACATGAACCTGCAAAAGGAGCTCGACGAGCTGAGGGCTGCACAGGACAAGCAGAAGGTGTGCGCCATCGAAGAGCACGAGAGAATGCAAGCGGAGCTCAGCAGCGCCAAGGACGCCCTGTCAGGTAGGTGGCACTACCTCTGTGTTTCTCTTCACTGCGAGAATGAAAAAAAAGTGAAACATTAAGGGCTCGCTTTTCTTGGTTAGACACAATATTAACCAGAGCCAACAGGCGATACAGCCAAAAAATTTATAGGGTATGATATTTGTAGTATTGATAATATATATGTCAAGAAAGCAAACTACACGAAACGACAAGTTGTCGCTGGTAAGGATCGAGCCTGCAACCTTCGAATCATATAACCAGTGAAGTATACGGGGGGGATCACCGCCTCTGTAGCACAATTGGTCGCTTTATTTTAGCACCGGACGCTGTATTTGAAGGTTGAAATTTTGGTGCCTGCCGATGGCAAGTTTTATTAGATGCGAAGCAGCTCTTTGATTATCCCGCGTAATGCTGTCCCTCCGTACACACCCGCTGTGCATGCTCGCGCCTCTTGCCAGCCCAGGAAGAAATACGCGTTACTGTCGCTCCCATCCCCCACTCTCGACTCGCAAGGCCGATGCAGGCAGCGTCTTCTAGTAAAAAAGCGACTGCTCGCGCTTCACTACTGTTCATTGGCCACCCCGTATATGTGGGTGCTGGATTGTGCGTTCAGAATTCAGTCAAGGGCACCTTTACTTGACTTTTCCTTTATGAGCACCAGCGTCATCGTCGCCGCCAGTGTAGAGCCCGCTGCTTCGCAACTACACGTGGTTCCCTTTAGTCAGAGATGGGTCAATTTTTATTCTTTCATTTTAAGTTCTTCGTATTTATATCATATTTACTACACATAACATACCCTAAGGTTTCATCGGCACTGCTTTCTGTTAGTTCTCATTAATATTGCGAGCACAGTAATGGCAGGGTTATTTTCTAGGCTAGCTGGTACATGATGACAAAGTGGGTTCCAGCATGTTACGATGCAAACAAAAGCCTTCGTCTTGCGCGTTTTTCCTCTTGTACTCACACAGCGACGTGCTCGAGCTCTTCACTTCGTAATCATGAGCGAATGAACTTTGTGTTCATTTTATTCGTTATCGCATTACTGTACGGGTAATTAGTGGTAGTTTTTAATACGCGTCTGCTTTCTTCGCTATTTTTAGTGAACAAAGAGTGCTTTTATCTCCCATTTTCAGTGACCTTCGAGTGACCTTAAGTCAAAAGCCATAACCTTTATCAGGGCCTCCATTTGAAAAAAAAATGGTTGAAGATTTCATGCAATACGTGCTCTGCTATGAAAGAAATAACCCCAAGATCTTCCTAATAAGAACGTAGTAAGAGGTACACGTATAGTCTAGTCTGGACTAGACTGCGTTTAGAAAAAGGGTTCGAATATTTCGAGTACATCGTACTCAACTACGGGAGATCAGTGAGCCATTCCTATACAAGTTTCTGACGATATGGCTGGGGTTAGAATGAACTGTCCGCGCTTTAGAGCACTGTGCGCACTCTATAGAGCCCTAGGCTGTCCCAGTTACTCACTAGGATTCGTGGCAACCGCGCCATAATGTGCGTAGAAAAAGTCGTTGACGATTTAGAGTACTTGGCACATTCTTTAGAAAAGAGTTTATTTACACTATGTACAAAAATAAAAATGCATAACATTCTATTATAAATGGGCACATAGAGCATAATTGACTCAAGGTTTTTGACTCAAAGCTTTTGACTGAAGGCTTTTGACTGAAGGCTTTTGGCTCAAGGCTTTTGACTCAAGGTCACTTAAAGGTCACTGAAAACGGCAGATAAAAACACTCTTTGTTCAATAATAATAGCGAAGAATGCAGACACGTATTAAAACTACCAATAATTACCCCTAGAGTAATCGTCAACGGCACATTTGCGTGTCACGACAAACGTGACTATGTTGTAATGAACAAATCATTACTCCAAATTACATGGCATACGTGGGATGCATGTACAAAGGAACACAATGGGATGTCATTACACAATGGTACAACGATGCAATAGATGCAATCTAACATAATTTGTTACAAAAGAAACAAGAAGAAATACTCGTCGGGCGCTGTTTAGCACCACTTTGGTTGAAAAATTAGTTGTACGCTTTTGCGTTCAACATTGACAAAATGGCATGACCAATGCCGCAAGAGCTTGTGCTCCTCTAATAAAAGCTTCTCACAAAGGAACGTGAGGATATCTTGTCTCATTCGCTCCAGTATGGAAAACAATGCACGCCGGCGGCAATTCCCAGCCATGGCCTCGCATCGGTTTCGCCAAAAGCTGAACAGCCCTGCAGCTATTAAAAGAGCTGGGAAGTGCACCCACATGGAAGTGTGTTTAGAAAAAGTGGTCAACGATTTAGAGTACTCGGTATTCTACTGTAAGAAAGCTGAAAGCCGTCCGCTCATTCTAACGAGCGTTACCTAGTTTAAGAGAATTTATTTTCCAGATATATCATACACAGCTTATGTGCACACATAAAAATGGACAATTGTGAACAATGCGTATGTACAATGCAAGCTGTTATATACAGCGAAAGAACTTATAGCGTATCAGTGACGTACAATGCAAAGATCGTTCAAAAAAAGACAGGACATTCTTGCCATCGAGATGATTAAACTTAAATAAACAGTAAGGCTATATGAACAAACAAGGGGAGGTCATTCACAGTGAAAGGTGATGTTTTGCATTCACCTGTCCGGACGATTCGCTCTCGCGCTCAAGAACAATATTGCACAAAAGGACATGTTTCTAAGAAAGAAAGAAAAAACACACTGTAATGTCACAGTGGTACAAGCTCTAATCCACCTCCTCAATGGGGGAGGAAAGGCATGGACACTCTGTTGTTTTTTACGATAATAAATCGCGTAGACCGGCGTCGGAGGAAAGCCTCCTCTCCCAGCATGACTAGTTCTGCGTTAAGATGCATAAGCATTATGTTTCTTAGCCGATGTAGTAGAGGAAACATGGCTCTCTGGGGGCGTTCCCTCAGACGGGCCAGCCCCCTTCGTTTTTATAAGACGAAGGCTCCGACAGCCATTAAGGGTACGACAAAGTTATCCCTGTGGCTAGACTTCCACTGCATACTTATTTAGAACATTCTGGTAACCATGCGCCAAAAGGTGCGCGCTACTATGGAAGACAAGGTTCAGCGTTAACTACTAATTAACTACAAGCGTTAACTACAAGCGTTAACTAATGCAAAGCATTTTGCTAAGGAAATGGAATTCGACAGCCTTTTTTTTTTGCCCACAACTGTTTGTGCAGGACGTCATTACATATTCCACTGCCTGCACAAGCAAGTTGCAAAACATATCGCTTCGGTGTTGTCCATAGCGTTTGTTCACATGAATGGCTCTGTAACACCTAGTGTGCGGATGATTTTTTATTCGTTGTTTGTAACTGCTATGCCTAAAACCGGATTTGGGGCGCCATTTACTTCATTTTTACTTCTTAGTGCTGATACGGGGTTTTTTTCAACTTCAACGGGTCGTGAGTTTTGCAGTGTGATTTTGCGCCGCCTTCATCGAGAGATGGGGCCACGCTGAGTGACCATGTTGGTGGCGTCCATAGCTCAGGAAGAAAAAGAGGTGGAACTCACTGAGACTCGACTAGGAATTATATATATAGCGCTTTGGACTCTCTCTAATTTAGAATCAACCAAAGTTTAACTGAGCCGCACTCACTCGGACTCACACTTACGAAAATTTTCTTCAACCAGACTCACTCGGACTCAAAGTCACCAAGAGATTACTAGCCCGGACTCACTCAGACTAACGGCTCAATCTGCTGAGTCTGAGTGAGTCCGAGTGATTCGACTCATAAGTGAGTTCACCGACCTATGCATGGCGTCGAACAATGCGGCCCTGATGGGGTCTGGACGAAACGATACTTACAACGAGATTCACTTCAAAACAGGTTAAGTAAGGCTTCCTAAAATTGCAGGATAACTAGGGGGGGGGGGCGAAAATACACAGCTCATAAGAAAGAGCAGGACATCGTCCCGTGTCCTTTTTCTAATGTGCTGTGCATTTTGCGCCCTCCTGAGTTATTATGAACCAACACTATCTGACACGATTCCTTTATTGCGATAAAAATTATATGGACAGTATCGGCTGGTTTTTCCCGTCACCGCCGCCGTCATTCTCTTATATGCATATCTATGTATATAAATACGCAGAAGGATACACTAGCCTGCTCTTTCTGCGGAGCGGACATCTCCCTTCCGGCCGAGGTCGTCTGCGCACGCGCTTATCCCGTCATCGGACAAGGGGGGGGGGGGGGGGGTATTGTTGCAACGCTATCACGGCAATGATCAGCGCGTACTTTGTTTTCCCACAATAGGCGGGAGCTTCTACGGGCTGCGCAAAAACGATGCCAAAAGTGTATCTGGAGCGGCCGCGTACTCTTACACCAGAGTTTCGTAGAGTTGTGAGATCAGATGCTAGCCTTGCTTCGTAAAACATTCGAATATGTTGCTATCGCATTCATTGCTGTGCCCTTTTGGCGAAACTGTGACTTCTTTTGGGAACGAAGCTCCTCAGGCCGTGGGTATGTAGTATGAGCCTCCGTATGTAGTATGAGCCAACTCTAGTTTATGACTTGCTCAATAGATGGCACGTAGCACGTGAACTTATTACGAGCGGGCAGCTGATTAATAGTCCCTCGTATACAATCTAATGACACCAAGTCTGCCAGTACGAGACCCTCGTTAATGTATAAGGGAAAGAAGTGTATACCTAAGGGCTCGTTTTTCCGTGTTTTGACACAGTATTAATGAGATGTAACAGACAGTCATGCCAAGGAATGTACAGGGGAAGTTATTAGAACCAATGGAATGTAAATAAGAAGAAAGAAAAGTGGGTGAAAAAATAACCAGCCGTGAGCAGTATACGCTTCTTTCCCTTATTCATTAACGAGGGTCTCGTACTGGCCAACTTGGTGTCATTAGATTGTATACGAGGGACTATTAATCAGCTGCCCGCTCGTAATAAGTTCACGTGCTACGTGACACCAAACATGCGCATAAAAGAGTGTTTCACACTCGTCACTTGGCTTATAGA